CGCCTTGAACACTCACAAGGACATTTACCGTACGGCTAACGCACGCGTCTGAGCAGAAATCTTTCCATCGTCAAAAGGGAAGGAGGTCGTTTCTGAGGAGCAGCACACGCGAATGTATGTCTATGAGGGACTTAGCATGGAGAACTCACAAGGACTCCCCGAATTCCGAAACCTGGACTGCCTATATGGCACAGCATAATTTCTGTGTGAGCTTGATCCGCGAGGACAAGGTGACGCATCAGCAGTACTTAATGAAGAGATTCTGCATGAACTCTTATACAGGCATATTAATGGCCTTCGTAAGATGCAACACGGGATTCCAACATTGATCACGACTGACGGGTGCAGGCGAGCAGCAACGGAAGCAGCCGATCTCTTACGATTCCATTACTCACAAACGTTCCAGAGAGTAACAGGCCCAACGGTTATCCCTGTTTCTATTGTCCCACCGTCAGCTTTATCCAATATCACTTTTACCGCAGAAACTGTGTCAAAGAAACTGTTGTCCCTGTGTATCCACAGCTCTTCTGGTATAAATGACGTTCGACCGAAGGCTTTACAGGCAGTAGCCAGTAATCTGGCGGAACCTCTGGCTATATTCTATCAGCGCTGTATGGAGGAGAACAATATTTCAACAATATGGAAGCGACGGGAGGTAGTCGCACTGACTCAAGCAATTACCGTCCTATAAAGCTACTCCCTGTGCTTTCCAAGGCTATGGAGTCTATCATCGCTGATGCACTCCTGCAGTATCTGGAAAATCACAAGGTGATAGCACCAGAGCAACATGGCGTCCGACAAAAGCGCTCATGCACTACGAAATTGCTAATTGCACGCAATAGCTAGACTGAAGTAGTTGTTGGTGGAGCAAGAGTCGATGTCATTTACCTGGACTTCTCAAAAGCATTTGATCGTTTAGACCAGAGAATTCTCCTCCATAAACTTCAGATCTATGGTGTTGGTGATCTATTGCTGCCTTGGATAAGCAATTATTTGCACGAACGTTGGTTGGAGGTGAGTGTATGAGGATCCATTTCAGACGCAATTGAGGGGAGTGCGGCGTACCACAATGCGCGGTGCTCGAGCCCCGTCTATTCTTGATTTCCCTGAACGATCTGGCGAGGGAAATTACTTCCGTTTTCCTATTATTCGCGGATGATATCAAGTTATGGTGAGCGATCAAAGAACCAATCGACCACGAAAAGGTCCAGCTTAAACTCAACACGATTTCAAACTGGTCAGTTCTGAATACACTACCGTACAATGTGGAAAAATGTCACGCTGTTCAATTGCGCCATAGGCATGACTACCTGTATAGACTTGGATCAAATGTATTGCAAACAACTTCCTAGGAACGTGAACTTAGTGTACTCATTCAAACTGATACTAACTGTTCAAAGTAGTCAGAGGCAGCTGCGAAGTGAGCCAACCAGCAAGTTGGCTTGCTGTGGAGAGCATTCGGAGGTTTCGACCTATTTATCCTCCCCATGACGCACAATTCTTACGTTTGCCCTTACGCTGAATGCTTCATCCAAGCTTGTCGAACTTGGTTAAAGCGCGACTTAATAGTGCTAGGCAGACCACAACGTTGGGCCACTAAATACCTTAAGGGTCTACGAAAGCTGCCCTACCATCAAAACCTGGAGTCAGTGGGAGTTTTCAGTGATCGCTACCGAAGGCTGCGCGGCGATCTCATATTTGTATACTGAATATTTAAATAAATAAATAAGTGGTATGTCCCTCGGTGATGCGAGGTGCAGTCCAACTAGGTGGTCTGATCAATTTTTACAGCAGGATGGCAGAAAGTAATAAATTTGTTCACGCTTTTTACTATGGATCTATGACGGGTATTAAAGTAATTGGCATTTTTAAGGTATTAAAGGAATTAAAACGCCACGAACAATAACAAATGCAGATTTAAACAACTGTCCAAGTAAAATAATACCGCCACTCGTGGAACCGTCCCTAATCACATATGTCGTCACTTGCTGAAACTCAGTCATAATACCAAGCTCAGAAGTAACCTCTGAAGTTGTGTGCAGAGCATAGCCGCCTGAATGCCGGCGGAATTGTTTTTCTCTTTGGGTTTGCCAACCATGGAACTCCCTATCAAAGTTAGTTGTTTCCTCCCCCACCTTGGATATTTTCAAGAAAACGATGGGCTCCCTCGCTACGTTATTTAATTTATGCTACTTTGGAATATACTGATTATCCCTTCAAACCGGATTAACAGGTCACCTAAATCTGAGGAGGTGGTACAGAAGTGAGTATGCTCGTTTTTACTTTTCTCACGGAGTACATCAACTATAACTGTCCCATGTTGCCTGGTCGTTCGTATTCAATTCCCACTTACACTACTGTTATTCAGCAGCGTATCTGCTAGATAAACGCTCAAACAGACAACTCACCTATCCTTTGATCATTCTAGTTCTACCCCCACCATCCTGCGGGACTAGCCAGGTAACTGTTTTTTTACCCGACATAAATCATTGTTCATGGAAAGTACGTCAATCAGTAGCAGATCCTATACACGTGGAAGACGATGGGCCACTAGGTAGAGTATTGCGCCTCTGTCTGTTCTTGATGTTCATTAATAATCTAGTGGGCTTAAGCACTTCACACTATTTGCTTGAAGCCGATGACATTGAAGTTTGGCCGTCGATCGAATCTACAGACGACCGCACACAGCTTCAACACGACCTAGACAAGATTTATGAAGGGTCAGACCAAAATATTCTGAGGCTAAATGTAAATAAATGTTGATTACTCCATCTGCGACACAAAACAGTTCACACCACTGATCTATTGCTCCATTGTAACTATAGGCTTGCTACCAGAATCTCACTTACTGTAGCTGTAAAAATATCTCGGTGTGCTACTCCAGGAAGACCTCCGTTGCTCGGGGCAATCTGTTCTAGCATCAGAAAGCGCATCCAATACTTGGGGCTCGTAAATTGTGCTTTCGGTCACTTTCACTCTTCTGTTTTTTCCTAACTACTTTCTGCATGCATTTGCCCGTACGTGGGATGTGCGACTCCAACATGGCATTCATGGCTGAAGCGGGATCTCACAGTCTTGGAAATACTATAACGTTGGGCCGGCAAAGCTTTAAAAGGCTATGCCACTTACTAACATAGCTTGAGTAGTTTGGATGTTTTCAGTGGACACTGTCGGCGTTCGCGCGATCATCTTACCATAGTTTCTCAAATTTTAAGCAACTCTAATCGCTCGTGCTATCAGCTGCTGAAACTAAGCCATAACAACCGACTGAGCCATTACCGTCTCAAAAGAGCAGAACAACACAGCCGGCTGGAGAGCAGATGGAATTTCTTCTCGTTACATGTGTGCTACATGTGGAATTCACTCCCCGAATCTGTTATTTTAGCCCCCACATTAGCTGCGCTCAAGCACCGTGTCGACAATTAACTGCTTGGGATACATCACATCATATCACACAGTTAAAACATACGCAGATTTAGAACACGAAACAATCTCAACGCACACCCGTTTTTTTCTGGGTCAATCAAAAACTGCGATATTTCAAGTTGTTTAAAACTATATGTGGACGATTAAGACGGACAAAAGTTTACGCTGCAAGTTCAAACGTCTTCGATTACTCTATGGTTGGGGTTGTTTGCCTATTTATTTTGAAAACTCTCCTTCACCATCCTGCGGGACATGTTTTGTTTAGTCTTTTTTATCCGTAACATATCATTAACAAATGACCACTAACCATTGTCAATGGGTGGTGCAGGACAGCCGATAGATGCGATCAACTATAAGATCAATAGACGGAATTTTCAACCATGATGAATTATCCATGTTATTGCGAGCGGCTGGATCAACGGGAGTCGCAGCAAATCCATTACGAAAGCATATGATACAACCACCACTGCGTTTGTGCAAACGATCTTTGTGAGACAGTTGATAGCTTAGAATATTGGGCTGAGAATCATTAATTGCTGTAGTGCACCACGTCTCAGTGAAGAAAGCACCATCCTACTCCTTAAGGACAAAGCTACTTCGGGGAAAACAGTGAACGTTAATAATGACAGCTTGACGGCGGCTGTCAGATCGGAAGGAACGGAGTTGGTTAGATGAAATTCTTTATCGCCATTCTAAGTGTTGGTGTGTCATGAGGCAATTAAGTCGCACTAACTTCTACATTATGTTGGGTCGAAGGAAGTGGCTACTATAGCAACTAGATCATCATGGTTTATGCTGTTCGCTCGATTAATTAAGGAGTACCTGGAGAACAGGATAGTCTGAAAAGAGTATCCATTCGTAGTATACAGAGGTAAGGGATGTGAACTCCTTTAAAAATGTGTTTACTCGAAACCTACTGCCGTCGTTCTAGTAGTGAAAAGGGTGGTAATTAAGTTGTGGTGAATTAAGACTGTCCCTTGTACGAGTGAGTCCGCAAGATCCGCCTTCACAGTTGCTTATTGCCAGGATTGGCTAGCTTGAAGTCGGGGAATCGGAGTAGTATTCAGGGGTACGATGGGTAACTACTACGTGGCTTTCTGCCGATAATCGCGATTTCGGTTACAGTGTTTCTCGCCTAGGTCTTAGCCGATGTAGTTGGACATTTCTGCTGCTACTGACTTGTTAAGGTCTACAGTCATGATCTCTGCATCACTCAGGAAGTCGCACTAGGAATTGCGATGATAGTAAAACCTTTCTGCGTTGTGGTAAACAATGATCCTTACACGTCCCAACGGAATCCGCGACGGTGTCGGTCACACACCATCTGTCCACTTTGGTTTGTGTCATGACAGTGGTCACTTTATGCGTTGGTTCTGGCACACCAACGAAAACGGCAAGCGCGATAGACTGACAGGCCAGTAGTTGGCGAGACAGGTGAACAGACGTGCGTTGCGGTGTCCCCACGTTTCGATCACAATCACATGGCAGCCGATTGGTTGTTGCTATCGCCACTGGTCGATACTGCGCGCCTAATCATCCACATGCTGTGGCGTTAGCAGTCAGTTGTCTTTCTACCGCAAGCTATGATGCCGTTCTCTTCGCGTCCTGCTACTATGGATACGTCAACTCCCTGTACTACTTTACTAGAGGATTATTGCATTCAAGCATCGTCCATCAGGTTACCCCTGATCGCGGCTGGCTTGGTCAATTCCGCACTATCGTTACTTCTCACAGAGCTGTCGAATCGTTTCTTCGAAATGGCTTTATTTGATATGTTACCGGAGCAGAAACGGACCTCACAACCTGACCCTGCTTCCTGCCCTTCTAGACAAGATCAGGAAACCCCACCTAACTCTATGCTTGCACCTACAGAAGGGGAAGTTCCCGATGAAGCCTATGGGGTACCAATTATGGACGCATGCTCTGCACATCACACAGACACGTGTGCACTCGATAAATCACCGTCCTCTCCGGTTACTCTGTTACGAGTTAAGGAAGAAATTGCTACCGATTTTAACGCTTTTATGGCGCATTTGTCACAGGTCCCCTCCTCACGAAATCATTTATCTCAGTATCCGAATACACCCGAGGTCTCAGATGCACAATCTCCTGACGCTGCTCCACGTGTGACCACTTTGACCTACCTCAAACGTTACACGTGTGACTGTCAGGGGTGCGGGAAAGTGTTCTTTAGTCGAAGCAGCCTTCTGCATCACAAACAAAGCCACAATGCTGAAAAACCTTACAACTGCCCCCAGGTTGACTGTAATGCGAGTTTCGCTTCGGAGTCTGTGCTCCGATCTCACATGCAGCTACATCAAGGGTCCTGCAAGGGGAACCAGGTCATTTGTCATTATCCCGGATGTGGCAAAGCGTTCATCTGTCACGACCGTCTCGTAGAACACATTCGGATTCACACGGGTGAACGTCCCTACGTCTGTGATTATCCCGGTTGTACGTACCGATTCGCCCGGCGGGGGAATCTTTTTGCTCATAAACGTGTTCACGTGGACAAGACACAGCGTCGCCAATATCACTGTGTTCACCCTGGCTGTGGAAAAACTTTTCTCTACACTCGCAGTTTAACGGAACACATGAACATCCACATTGGCGAGCGTCCGTACAAATGTGATTTTCCAGACTGCGACAAGAGCTTCACCAGCAAAAGCTATCTTCACGCACATCGGCGCATACACGCGAACCCCCACGGCAACAGTGGTTACACCAAAAGTGATACAACCACCTCTTATACTGTATCTACCGTCCCAGTTACAGTGACGATACCTCTCGCCCATGGATCAAGACAACCAGCAGTTCCGTTTCCGCAATCTTCTCAGTCGGGGGAATTCCCCTTGTATTCTTTCTATCCTGATCGGTTGACATGACTTTTTGCTTCTTTTCGTCCCCATGCTCCTGCATTTAATTCAGAAGACAACAGACCCCTCTCTTCACCGCAGTGAACCTGTGATTCATTGCATCTCTGGACGATGCTTTCTTTCCTGTACAGTACCGTGAGTGATTCATACCTAAAATATGTATTCAAACCTTACCTTGTTCTCCTAAATATTCGCCATAGCGCTTTTGTCCGTGTTAGATCTACGGATCTTTGGAACAGATGCTCTCGCTTAGTTCATTTGCGGTATCCAATCGTTAGTTCCGTAAGGGAAAACATTCTAATCAAATGTGCATGCCGGGTTATATCCTGACTTGTCTAGGTGGCGCAGGGATACGCCACCTTGCTCAAGCCAGATTTGTGCAATAACCAAATATTCTCGAGTAGGCATTCTCAGCTCTGTGAACTCCCTGGATTCCCGGCCCCGCTCTACACACCGAGATGTTCGTCGTTTAGCCGGAGCCAGTGATCATTCCTGTTTATCCTCAGTGAACCCTCCTTGCGAAATGGAAAAATGCGGCATTTGACAGCTGTCTCATTCGATAAGCATGTAGTACATTTACCCGTTCCCATAAATCTTGGTTACTCTTGCTCCCGTCATTGCCTTAAGGTGTCCCCACGCGCAGCGGCAAAGCCTACGGAGTTTCTAATTGGAGGGTCAAATTTGGAATACACGTTGTGTGATTGCATTGCGACGCGTAATCTCAATGTACTGGACCGTGATTCACATTGAAGTGAACCTTAGTCACTGCGATCACTAAGACCGTACTCAAAGCAGATGGAAATTGGGTGTTGTCCGCCCGAAAACACTGCACTGCGCCTGCTAACACGGTCGATATCTTCTAGATAACCTGCACCTATTGCGTTGATTGACTAAGTTGGCCACCTGTCCAGAACTGGTTCCGGGACTAACCACGTGGTTACTAGCGCACGATCTCTTTTCACTTAATAACAATGACCTAATTGGTCTTGGCTGCGATCCTGATGTTCCCACCGAATGTCTAAACTTTTTCACAATCTAGGGTTGTATAAATTCATGACCTCACTCTGCTCACGCTGATCCTGGCTTTATCTGATGCGGCATCCTAACTCCATAGCCACGTTTCCTACTAAAATGTATTCGTTGTCTATGGTTACTGCGAATAAGCACTAAACCGGATGTACAGCGAAGTGTAGCGAGTGGTCAGCGCCTAGTATTTATCTTCGTTGCATAATATTTTTATTTATGAACTAGACTCTGATATGCCTTAGAAGGCGATTTCTGTAGCTGGTAGACAAGACTCGTCTACCATTGCTTTGGAACTTTTACGCCGAAAATCATGTCACTTGCCTCGCTCGTTAACTCTATGTTCCCCGGCACTAGGTAGAAAACTCAACTAAATTCGACAATGTTTTTCGCCGTACACAAACATACTGCAATTTCAGTTTACGTGACATAAATTTTAGTACTGATTATGTCCTCATCACGCACTACGCAAATTTTAATATTGTAACTCACGATACCCGTTGAGTGATTTCTAGTGTACACAATATCATGAGCGATTCCCTCGCCTCCCCACCCACTGTCTGTTGACATTTGTTCGCTGCCGGTCTGGCATCCCTAATGTCCTGCATTTGTAAGCTGGTTTAAAGCAGATAGTCCAGCAGACTTTCCTGACATTCTTGCTGTGATGACGCTCCCTTCAACTTTTCAGCCGTCTATCTCGGCTTCCATTGTTTGCTACTGCCGAAACTAGTTGATTAAACCCCCCGGGTGACCAGTCGACTTTGCAAAAGCGCGTAAGGAAATTAACAAATTGACTGAATTGCGTACCTCCTTCAAGCAGGACTAAGTTTCAACCACATCAATGCTTAAAAATCCAATATGATAGTTTACAACGCCAAAGTCAGTCACACTATTGCGTTCGGCCATTTGCAACTAACTCTTAATCTTCTTGTAGTCGATAGATTTTTCCGATTCCACAGACCATGGTTTTCCGAGAGGGAGCGCAAAATGCCATTCAATGACCGGTCAAAGTTGGGAAGTTTCGATATTCTGATTTCTGTCCGTTTCATACACCAAGTATAATTTCCAAAAGGAATGACCCATAAGTTCCACAAATGCGTTCGGAAGCTACTAATTCGTACTCCCTGCGTTATGTTTCGCCGCCTGAACTGATGTCTCATTGCGGAGGGGGCATACTTTCATACAATTTGTATGTAATCTAGTAAGGTCCATACCCGTCTACTATTTTCTTCGGAAGATTTTCGACTTCACTTAGCGCATGCCATGAACCGACCAGTCCTGGGATGAGAAACCGCTACAGTGGCTCCCAGCGCTCAACATATGAAACAGCCGTTTTGTTCCTTCTCCGTATTCTTGGACCACTACTTGGTCACACATAGCACAATAGATATTTTCATACTATTGTAAAGGTGCCCAGATTTTCATCAATGATTCTACTCCACTGCCATTAGTGTTGCTCCATCGGCTGAACTCACGAATTTGTTTTTCAGCTGTACTTTGAAGAGCAGCACCCGAACGACGGTAGAGTGTTGGCATCGTACAGAAGAATCCTACGTTGAAATGGTAAAATGTGCTCTGTTCAGCTAATTAACGTTCGTAGCCTAGTTCGTCTGATTACGTAGTTCTTTTCTCCTTTCTCCTACTCACACAGTGGCGAGCACCAATTTCCGAACCCATCCTAGAAACAATATAGCTTACCTATCTTCAAAGGGACGTGATTCCACCGGGTTGGTTTGGGGTGAAGGGATTTTTGCAACAAGACTTGTTACTTATCTCTGTACACTATACGCAGAGTTGATTCCAATTATTTCCTTGATAGCCAACCTTATACTCCTTCATTCTACGTGAGAAATGTTACCATGTATACTGTTTCAATAAAGATTAGTCTAATTCCCCACTTCATTTCTGCTCTTTTGATGGGCTGATACTTTTGTCTTACCACGTGATGAACTGTCGAGCACTGGGAGCGAGCGACGCCGATAGCCCTCCATTTCGCATATCGCCCCAGTGATTCAAAGAACCGAGGTCTCAAAACTGAAAGTTCATGCAGCAGTTCAAACACAGTTGGTATTCTAAAATTCACCATTGAATTGTTGAATGCTCTGCCAGGCATTCCTCGTGGATAATAGTAACAGAGTGTACAGGACTTTAGTTGGGAGCCACCAGGTCTTGGGTTCTTCTTCCAGCTCCCGCTATCCTATCTGAAGAGTCAAAATAAGGACGAGATCGGTCCTCAAGTGCAGTGTTGGGAACGAGCAATATCGAGTACCACTTCAGATACCGTCCCAGTGATCAGATCAATCAAAATTTGCCTCAAAGTAAACCTTGGTCCCAGTTGAGATTGGGCGTCACCATTCAATCACATGGCAGATAGAAAGAAGGAAAGAAAGTTGTCTTTTGTTTCAGTGGAAAGCGGTCTCCATGCAGGACGAGATCACACTAATGGGCTGTCGAATTCGTTTGTTGACACAGCAGGTGTAGTGTCCAATGCATGCGTGAACGGAGTCTGTGGAAATGTCTGATGTTTACATTCAGTTTTACTGGGTAGAATTATCAACTTCCTTTCGGGATTAATGGGCCCCTTGTAACAGGCTGATGCGGTATTCTCACCTATTGTTCTCATCTGGCGATCTTCAATTCAGGGCTGAAAATCTGGAATTTATTTTACTGGGCACTTTACATTTGCTCAGAAAATATCCGGTTTTCTCAGCGATCACGGCCGAGAAGTGAGGAAGAGATTCGGTGTTTTCAATTCGCCAAAATAGAATTACTGAATGCAAGGGTATGTGCTCTGTGGAGAATCTAAAAAATAAATAGAATATGAAAGTGCGCTATTGTAACCAGACCTATTTCTGTTATACTGCCTTATAGTGATTTACATTGGTCACGATTACTCAGAAATGTCAGATGTTGCTCATAGTTGCCACATGAGACTGGGACAAACCGGACTGCTAAAGAAGGCAAAGTGTAAAGACAGAGTTGAAAGAGTAAAAATCGGTCAGGCCTTCCTATCAACATACACTTAAAGATAGGAGCCCGTAGGATGAGTTAGCAGAATGTGAATGAATGGTCAGAATGAGGAACAATAAGCAGACTATAGGTTGACTAGCCTATACAGCACTTACTTGCGCTTGAAGCCTGGGATTCGCACTGCCGGTGAAAATGGGAGACGGAAGATGGGTATGTGCACTGGGTCGGATTCGCCATTCAGCACACCTTTACTGTTGTAAACCTTGTGGTAGACTTATCGCATTGAAGAGGTGGGGTGTGAATAACCACGTCTACTTGGCTTTTCGTTTTCGACTCGCGTATGTTGTTGGGCAATTCAAAGATAATGGTGGCAAACAGAACGAATCCTGGATCCTTGTCGTGTGTCTGTTTTTTGTTATGGGTACCCTAGTAGTTTTGCTACGTTTTGCACAATTGTGAATTCTTCTACCCTTATGACAAATTCGAGCCCAAAATTTCAAACACACGTTCCGGCTGGTAACGTTCCAGTTTCTGGCGCATCTACCAACAAAGCAGTTCGCGGATCCGTTAGTCGTCGACCTGCATTTTACCAGAATTCTCCTTAGTTCGTGAGTTGTAGGCAATTGATTGCGTTGTTTGTTTGAAAAGGTCAACATTGTCATCAGAATGCTACAAGATATGATCAGGTTGTGCTTCATTTACCTTAACCACAGGGGTTCGCTTTTGGGTTTATCATATGTTACAACCTAATCTGGTCTTGCTGAATCAGCTAAAAATCGTTCGGTGAATAGGTTATGCACTCACTCTAATGTAATGCGGACTTGTTCTGCTATGCATCGGTAAGCAGTACTCTGATTCCAATGCTCTGTCTCTCTTGTGATAGCATGATCCGCTTGTTCAGGAAGTTACTGAACACTGGTTAGAAGCAACAAGTAGAGTTTTCTCTGTGTAGCTGTATCGACCGTCATGTTGGGTTCCGCTCAATATATTTTGCATCGGCAAAGTGTTTGTCGAGGAACTTCTTAAATTCCGACACTGACTTTGCCTCAACTACGTGCTGCAACAGATCGTTCCATACTCTCACCACTCTGCGTTCCAAACAAAGTTGGTGAGCGACCCGCTTCAAATCCGGTACGACATGCTTATACCGCTGTCCTCGTGTGCTGCTTGGTGTGCGCAGATGAAGCAGTGGTCTCAACATAGGGTAATCACCCAGATGTAATATCCGGTGCGTCATGATGAGGTCAACCCTCAGTCGACGATAAGCTAGGGTGTACAGCCCTAGTTTCTTACACCGATCTTCGTACGGCACACCTCGTAAGTTGGGAATCAGCCAGGTGGCTACATGCTTCACTCGCTCAATCTTTTCTATCTCGCCCTGGGTGATAAGACAATACGCGGGAGAGCCATACTCTAGCATTGGTCGTATTATTGAGACGAAGAGGCGAGAGGCAATCTGTTCGGACCAAGTGTTGAAGCTGCGCCTGAGTGCCCAAAGCATCCGAAGGCTGTTTTGGTAAATCCGAAGACTGTTTTGGTAAGGCGAGCAATAATATCACAGCCCTAGGTTCTGTATGATGTAGAAGAAATGAATTGGCTTACCACCATGCCTCAGACCGCTGGATGCTGAGTCACGTTTATTGGACAATACGCTACATCCGTTTGTTGTCAAGTGCATTTTTACTTTAGGCAGTAAGTTCCGAATGCATGGGGGTCCAGCTGGATCATACTGATAGCATCACTGTGGGTTGCCGGGCAGAAAGTACATAGTACGGTGTGCCGAATTTTGCTAGGTCAAATATATCATTAACATACACCAAGAACAGTATCCGGCCGATGGACACTGCCTTGCGTTACACCACTAGTGGCAGGTTTTGGTTCAGATTTGCGTTCCTCAACCTCTACTGCCTGCACGGGTTTTGTAAGCTACGATCTAAACCAGGATATCTGCGTTCTCTGATTCCATTAGACGCCATGCTATATACTTAATTTTCCACGAAGTATTCTATCGGAGGCCTTGTGCGTGTCGAGCTGAGTAACGGTTACAGATATGACATAACCATGCGTGGCAATTGTAGGATCTAGAAATTCCAATTAACACATTATGCAACCCCCAGTATTCAAGAAGCCGTACTGAGAATCGTTTATTAGCTATCACGACTGTAGGGACTCAGTCGTTGTGGACTTGACATATTGCTCCACTATTTTTGATAGAACGGATGTGACTTAGTAGGTGATAATCTTTTGTATCTAACTGGGGGCTATATTTATGTCGTGACATAACTACGGCTTCTTTCTATTGTGTTAGAAACCATGGTTCATTTGAAAGTGTTTCATCGCAGCAATTGAATGTCGACTGCCCTGAATTCGACACCTATAGACGGTGCACTAACTGACCCACCAGAATAGGATAATTTTGCTCACTTCATAAGTTTGTCTAGGTTACAAAACCATAGGTTTACACAGTTAAGTTAGATGACTGTGGCGCATGACAAATTTAGGCTTAGAGATCCAGTATTAACGCTGAATGAGGCGCAGAAATACTGGTCAACTATGTCGCCAGTTGGCGCATGGTGTTATTTTACAGCCATCTGCTGCTACTAGCTATTCCTTGACTTCCCTACGTTTAGTATTCCTGTGCTTCCAAAGATTGATTAACTCAAGGTATTTTCTGAAAGACTGCTGAGATCTGGTTTTTCGCCAACAATTCCTTTGGTGTGGCATAACGTGTGCATGGCTGCGACCAATTTTTTGTACTGTACCAACTTGAGGTCACTTGTTTTACGGCATACCATGAGCGATTCTTGAGCTTTCTGGCTGTTTTCTGCTAAATGGATTCTTTGTTGCCAGGTGGAAAATATCTGTACTTATTAGGAGCGAGCTTATCAACACCTAGAGTGATACTTTAGAGGACATCAACTGCGATTTGCGGGTCGCCAGTGAGGAAGAAGATGTCCCATTGAGCAGAACCCAACAACATGGTAGACATGCCCTACTTAATGTTCATTTAGTGCCTGAAAACCATTCGGGACTTTAGCGTAACCGTTGTTGATTATCGGGTGTGACAGCTGAGTGAAGAGGAGACAACTCTGTGGTCACTGTCGGGAAGATGTTCCAGAAAATCAGCGGTTGTTTGTTGCATGGAAATGCCAAATCTCTAATCCAATATCTGATTCTTCCTAATAGAAATCCTGGTGTGTTGCATCCGTCTATATGAATGCAGATGTCAGATCTGTATATTTAGCGGGTATGTAGCTTGAGATCCGTGTGGTATCCGGTATGTTGACATCCGCACCCATTAACTGGTGCCTGACCGGTAGGCCTACCACGTGGTCAAGCAGTTATATTAATGAGGTAAATTTGCAAAGCTGGGATTCGGGTACACGTATACATATCTGGCGAGTAACCCATGGTTACCAGAGTCATCAACTTAATTTGTTTACCAACAGTGGTTGTCGTACGCATGCATCAACCTGGCTGGATTCAGACAGTCAGTATGTGGTGGTTTGACTCAGGATTGGCTGTCATGAACCATGTCTCTGTCACGAATACAATTTGTGCATCCGAAGGAGAGGGCAGGAAGTGAATTTTATTTTTCAGTGAATATGCATTGGGTATCAGAACACATTTGGATTGCGGTTGATGAGGCAAGTTTATTACTAGTGAAAGTAATGCGGGACCAGTTTTAGAGGATGTTTTAATTAGATTATCAAAAGCATTAGAAAGAGATCTCTAGATAGGCAAGATGTGTAGCGACGTCGTATCTACTGCATGGACAGTACTGTATGGACAGTAGGACTATTGCGAGCACCGGCAGACCTGGTGGTATGAAAACTATTGAAGCATTAAACCTAAACCGCAACAGGCCTGGTATTGAACCAGTGTTTTCATCTGCGCTCGTTGCAGGAAGAGTGGGACCATACAGTTGTTTTCCGCCAGAGGTATCAGTGTCGAAATGAGTGAGAAAGTATGCCCAATTCTTCTAAAAGTAGTCATATGAAAACGCTGGTTTACAGGCGACTACGTTGATATGGACAATGAACAATGATTTATAACGGGTAAAAAAGCAGGTGCTTGACATGTCCCGTAGTGTATTTAGCGTGAAAAAAAGAAAGGATAATGGAGTCGTCAGTTCGGGCGGCTGCAGATTTAACTGCACTGTCGTATAAAGGGCGTTTCAAATGAGAATGTACGCGCACAAAGCAATAAGGGGAGTGGTTATTGATCACATAATAGATGAGAAAATAAATAAAATAGATAACAAGGACAACGCTTACTCGTGTGCAACTATCTTGGGTCGCAGGATACAGAAATCCAGTTCCCATAGTAGTAGCGTTTATCAAATTTCGTTCAAGGTGTTTGGAGTGACTCATTCTCGAGTAGGGTTACGACACGATCCACTGTCTGTTGTGCATTAGTGCCAGCATCTGGTGGTCATGGGCTATAGCACGTAGTGTAAATGTGCCAGAGTACCGTCAAGGCGTTTTTTGAAAAGGGACAGGGTGGGAGCATTAATTACATGTTCCGGGAGGGCGTTCCAAGGCTGTGACACTCGAAGGGAGAAAAAGTTTCGTCGACATTCCAGGCGGTTGCAATGCGTGACTAACTTAAACTGATGACCTCTTATCGAGGTGTTCTTACTGAGTATTAGGA